AAACCTGATGATATCATCAGCTGCAGCTTTTTATATTTGATCGAAAGTTTCTCATCCCACCTCCTACCTTTAAAGTTGCAAAGCTCCCTAGGGATCACTGGGGAAGCCTTTAGGGGCCCTCGGACAGAGGTGGGGAAGCGTTTAATGTTAAAAAATGACCAGACCTGATAGCGACAATTTTTAGACCTTAAAGGCCTCTAATGTTGTTACTTTACCTAGATACGTGCACACCCGTCTTTCAGAGCACCTTTTGCCGGTATAGTGCTGCAATGTGAAGAAAAGCATACAAAAGATCTACTGTATGTGTGGACATCTGTTCTCAGGACACTGGATATAGCCCAGAGAATATTTTCAAGTTACATCTATAACAGATTGTGAATGAAAAAGGTATGTGGTTGTTCGTTTTATTCAGACTGCATTTTAAAGGTTGGGAACCATAGTTCAAGATGACTCAACAAGTACAGAGTTTTTGTCAACTCCACTGTGCTCCAGAAGCCTTGTGGCACAATGGTTAAACTGCAGTACTGAAGTGAAGACTCTGCTCATGACCCGAGTTCAATTCTAGGCCAGGAACTTGGCTTGAGGTTCCACCCTTCTGAGGTCAGTAAACAGAATACCTAGCTCACTGGTGAAGGAGGCAATGTGTAGCCTGCAAAAGTAAATTGTAACACCCAGAGACAGCTTTAAACACTATGTTGCTGTATATAGGTAAAGGTTCCCCTTGACAATTTTTGTTCAGTCGTGTTCGACTCTAGGGGGCGGTGCTCATCCCCGTTTCCATGCCATAGAGCCAGTGTTTTGTCCAAAGACAATCTTCTGTGGTCACATGGCCAGTGCGACTTAGACACGGAACGCTGTTACCTTCCCACCGAGGTGGTCCCTATTGATCTACTCGCATTTGCATGCTTTCGAACTGCTAGGTTGGCGGGAGCTGGGACAAGCGACGGGAGCTCACTCCGTCACGTGGATTCGATCTTATGACTGCTTGGTCTTCTGACCCTGCAGCACAGGCTTCTGCGGTTTAGCCCGCAGTGCCACCATGTCCCTGTGGCTGTATATAAGCAGCACATTTTGCTTTGCTTTTACTTATTAATTAATTATTATTATTTATTAATTATAATTATTATTTTTGCTGGGCTTCACTCTGTCCCATTATGTCCCAGACTCAGCATGCTGCACTTACCATTAGGTTTCATCAGTGGCAGCAATTCTGTACAAACATCCCTTGTTGCAAAGAAGTTTGTTCTCAGTGTGACTTCTGCTTGTACTGCAAATGGAGTTGTATCAGCAACTTTTTTTTAAGATGAGGAAAGAAAAATAAGAGTCAGGTCCAACAGTAATGAATGCAAAAACTATGGCTATACATACAGAGTCTGAACAACAGTAAGATGCTGTATTAAAATTTATAAAGGTGGCAAAGTGCTACCAATATCTGAACTGAAAAGCTGACCCCACAACAAGACCCAACCAGATTTCATCTCCAAGCAGGTACAAAGGCATAAACTTTGCCTGTACATGGCTTCTGCTGGAAAATGCTTAGCAAGACTTCTCGGTCATCTATATGTAGTGTCCAGTGAACTCAGTGGAGCTTCCTTTTGAGTAGATATGTAAAGGACGGCCGTATAAATACCTGCAAAAACATGAAATCTAAAAGAATATAAGCTTATTCTGATATACACGATTAAGTAGTCAATTCTGAGGAAGACAAACCATGGAAAACCTAATTGCTTTGATAATTTCTCCTGGGTCATTGATCATTTTTGTTTATAATTTGGGTAACTTTGTTTCAAAAGGAGGTGGTTCACACAGAAATCATTTAGCACTACACAAAGCTGTGGAAAGTTACTTTTTTGAACCATAGCTCCCAGAATACCCTAACTATAGCTGCGGCATACATGAGGAAAGCTTTAGGTCCTTCTCTTCTCCCCACATACAGTTGGGAGGACAAATAAACTCTGACATAATTTAAGGTTCACACATGCTTGGTCTGTAGTAATCTATAAGCTCTAGTCAACTGTTAAACAAACCAGCTTTGAACCACACATGATTCTCATTTGTTTAATATCTTACTATATTATAAGCCATTATTGTAGGATTATATGTAGCAACAAGCCATGAGCCAAAGAAAGGGGAAGTGGATCACTGCTCAGTCTTTTTCCCATGTGAAAGGCCGTGACTCCTTATGTTAAGTTAGTCCAACTTATGTCAGGTTTTCTCTTCTTAGCCTTATTATCTTTTCCAGTGAAATGTGACTTGTCATGGTACCTACAAATTACAATAGTTTCAGTTCAGTCATTTTAGCTTCTAGTTAAGAGTTCAGGCTTGATATGACGTGTAATTCACTTTGTCGTTCTCGCAGTATATGCCATCTCTAAAACTCAAATCATAGCCTCCTACAAATCAGCTAAGTAGTAGTGGTGACAGAATCAGTTACCTAGTGCACCCAGAGAGCCATATACTACATTAAAAATTACAATGTGCAGCCAATTAGATTCTGATATGGCAACCCTCCCTTTGGTTTTCTAGGTATAAAGCAGTCAGACATGGTATGTCGCTCTCTCCTTGTAGTGGTGCTGTAGCTCAGTGCAGCCTGCCCTAGTCCATACAAGCGGGCTGTTTTCCTGGCAGACACAGTAGGGGATTAAATCCCTGACCCTGGCTCTGCATCCAGGTGCTCAACCCACTGAACTATCCAGCCAGCCACTGTAGTATCACACTACAGATCATGGATTCTAAAACAAACATCCCTCCCAAAGTGGTTAGCATACAAAATCCTGGTAAAAAACTACCAGTGAATACTATTATTTTACAAATGACAGCAAATGAGGCTAATGTAAGAGATGAGCAATCAGCACAAGGTCAGCCATGTTTTTTTTAAAGCCAAACATTAATTTTAGTTTGCATTTGTGAAGTAACAGGACCCAGAAACTCTTGTTTATCTAAAGCAAATCATTCAGAAAGCAACCAATAGAGCGTGATGGACCTTCTATCTCTGTTAGATCACTGTTCAGTGTTGCATGTGAACCAGCTGAACAGAAAGTAGCAGATTATCTATTTGCCAAAAACGAGATAGATTACAATTTGAAAGCATTAGGCTGTTTAAATCCCACCATCTTTGTGGTGGCTTGATGCCTGCCTTTAAGCCTGTGACATCCTGAGTGTATAGGGCCTTTATTTAAAATAATATCTGAAATGCAATATTAAAGACATAGCATTAACATTTCGAGGACAATATCCTCAGCCTGTATGTTACCTTTGAAAGCAATTCCTGCATTGTTGACAAGCACATCCAATCCCCCATACTTTTCCTTTAGGAAATCCCGAAGAGCTCGGATACTCTGAAGATCATTGATGTCCAGCTGGTGAAACAGGGGCTTCAGTCCTTCCTCCTGCAGCTTGGCCACGGCTGCCTTGCCCCGTTCCACATCCCGGGCTGTCAGGTAGACGTCCCCAGTGAACTGTTTGCACAGAGCCCGCACAATGGCAAACCCAATGCCTTTGTTGGCTCCGGTCACCACAGCTACTGCCTTGCTGGACATCCTTCTTATGATGTGAATTCTAAAGTAATTTAAGATAAACATTAATATTAAAAAAAGGATGTGATTATTGCACGCACACACAAAATTTGATGGAAGTCTTCAGTCTTGCCGATGATATAACACCAACCACTGTTTCTGCATGTAATGTTGAATAAGCAGTCATTCCAATGTTAATGGGATATAGAAATTTAGCAGCATGTATGGGAGATTACATTGGTGAAGGATGTTTCATATACAACTACAATGATACTCAAGGACGTGGTGTCGCTGTGGGTTAAACCACAGAAGCCTCTGTGCTGAAAGGTCAGAAGACCATTTTTATTTTATTTTTATTTATTTGATTTATATCCTGCCCATCTGGTCTGGTCGACCAGTAGTCGTAAGATCGACTCCACATGACGGAGTTTGCTCCCGTCACTTTGTCCCAGCTCCTGCCAACCTAGCAGTTCGAAAGCATGTAAATGTGAGTAGATGAATAGGTACCACCACGGTGGGAAGGTAACGGTGTTCCGTGTCTAGCCATGCTGGCCACGTGACCACAAAAACTGTCTATGGACAAACGCTGGTTCTGTGGTTTGGAGACAGGGATGAGCACCATGCCCTAGAGTCAGACATGACTGGACTAAATGTCAAGGGGCGCCTTTACCTTTACCTTACAATGATACTCAAGCTAATTCTTATTAGTACTGCAGACTAAAGGCAAAGACAGACTAGAAAACAACAATAAACCACTTCTAGGTATTTTACACCTCTAATGACAGAGTTAAAAAAAATTAAGTACCAAACTACTAATTTCAGAATTTTGTAAGATGAAAGCATGCCTATTAAAAGTGGATTCACACTAATATACCTGAATAGATAAGACTAGCTTAGCACTTTTCACTGGGGGTGGAAGATCTGTGGTATTTCAAATGTTTTCACCTACTATTCTCAGTCTCATCAAGCTCACCAAAAATAAAGGAGTGTTGGAGTTGTAGGCCGAAAATTGAAGAGTCAAAAAGCTCCTCCCTGTTGCATTACAAACTGATAGTGTGCGTTACACTGAGACCGTGCAAGCATGAACAGAGGTCAAGCAAGAAAAGCACAGCTAGGGGAAACAGAATTCTCCTTAGATAATCTTCCATTTTGTCCACAATGCAGTCTTAGGGGGAGCTGGGCTATCCAGTAAGTGCATGGGAATCGTACTGTAAAGGCTAGGTTAAAAATTCATTCCTTCATACTAATGAACATTCGTAGTTAACTGGATATAAACAAGGAATCAATCAAGCCTAAGAGAACATTCCTGGCTATAAGTTTAGGATATAGATCAGTGCTCACAGCTGGTTACGTGCTCGAGCGATTACATAATTAAAAAAAAGATATCTAGGAAAAAAGTGCTGTATCTAACCATGTATATATAAAGCAACATTCTGGGTGGAGGCTATAATTATGTGGGAAGCCATGCGCCGAGAGCAACGATCACGTCCTCAGTCAATACAATTCACACATGCTTACACCTATAAATAAAATAAAGTAAGAGCAAGGGTAATCACCAGCGAGAAGTGTGACCTGTATGAAAACGCAAAGAGCCGTCCGCTCTACGCAAAACTGAAAAGTTGCACAGACAGGGATTTGCAGGAAAAAGGCGTAAGGGAAAGAGAGAATTGTTTCATAAAATCAAAAAAGCGGCAAACCTGCAGCAGGTGTCCAAGGAACGGCGCGTTTCGGTCTAAAACGACAACACCCAGAAAAGACCAAGTCAGGTTGAAAAACAAGAATTAAAAAAAAGTTTTTATTCGCTATCCAATAAGGGGCGATTCTAGATGTAAACATTTCTCCCTCTCAGCCAGGATTGGCTGAGCCGTGCAGGTTGCCACCGGAGGGTGCCCGCCTCTTCCTCTTCCGCGCGTTCCCCGGGGGAGATCCACGTGGTTTTGAAGGTCTGCGGTGGAGGTAGACGAAAGCGGGAAGTTGCCCGTTGATTAAGGAACGGGTTTGGCGGTGTGACCCAGACTCTGTTTGCTCGTGAGTTCTATTAATTTCTGCAAGGGTGATTCCATAAAGAAGCTGCAGTCCGACCTGGACTGACTTATAGTCAGCAGCCACGTTGAACGTATTGGGAACGTATGGGTGTTTTCCAAGTAAACATGCGTAAGATCCGCCTTTCTGTTTCTAGATCGCGAATACTACGCAGTGGAATGTTCCCGTGTAGGGATCAACCGGATTTCCATCCTTAAAACGTTATTAATCATATAAGAGCATCGGTCCAGATGGGTCTGACCAAAGTTCAGCGTGCTGTTTCCTCACACCCAGGCCAACTCGATGTGTTTGGAGAACCAACAAAAAAGGGATGGGAGATGGGAGGCTTCCTTATCTGTAGCTTTGCAGCAAGTAGTATTCTTTGTACATTGTCCCTGAATAAAAATCCAATTCTTCCCAAGAGTGGAGGGGCTGGATGGAATGAGGTTTTGTCATGTGTTCTTTAGTATTCAGTTTTCTCATTGTGAAAATCCAGATGTGCTTATTCACCAGCTTCTTGCCAACACATTTATAGAAAGGTGTGTGGGTGGTTAGGGGGTCAACATTTTTATATCAATAGCTGATGAAATATTTTTTGTTGAAAAAAAAATAACATTTTTCCGGTTATCTCACACAGGTTACATGCAGAATCTGAACTCCTTTGCTTAACATGAAGAAAAAGAATGGCCGGACATATCGAAAAAGACGAAGAAAGCAGTCTAGAACTTTCTCCTTAAGCTGTGGTAAGATGATTTTAAAATTGCAGTAAAAGAATTTGGTTCAAAATAATGGCAGTATGATTAACTAACTGAAACAAGAAGTTTTCAAGGAGAACTTAAGTATGCCCTAAAAGTGTTCAGTGTTGCAGATGTTATTTAGAGTTCTATCCTAATATGTACTGAGTCAGTGCATACATGCTTAGGATGTAGCATACCAATATTAATGTCATCCATTTTGTCCTCAGAACAAAACAGCATTGATATAAGTGCAGTAGAGAGGGAATGGTTTTGTTAAATTATTCAATTTATTCTAAGCCAAAGCACTTCAATTTTCTGCATCCACTTGAGTATGTGATGAAGTAGTTACTTTGTTATAAAACTCTTTTACAAATCAATGCAGAAGAAGAGTGTGTCTTAAAATGGTCTATTGAGGTATAATTAGTTTCTTTCTCTCTTTGTGCAGTAAGTCTTAGTCACAAAGATGAATACATATTTCTTAAGAAGTGGCTGAAGGAAAGAGGTTATGAGGACAGTAAACTAATGCCAGCAGAGTTTCCAGGTAATTATTCATAGTTTTTAAAAGAACAAAACTCCCAAGACTTTATATTTAATCTAGTAGAAGAATAAGTCCACATGATCTGTAGAATGCAATTATATTTTGCTTCCACCTGAGGAGGCAGGAATATTTTGTAGATTGTGTGGACTTACTTACATGGAACTGATCAGGTAATTTCCAGTCATAAGTCCTTGCTATAGCATTCTTTGAGTAGAGGAAATCGGGCAGAACAGTGATTTACAACCGCAGGTGACAAGGTATAGTATTTTAGAGTGTGGTTGAATATCCTTGACCATCTGTGAGTTGCACTGAAATAACAGAATTTAGAAACATGTGGCATTCCTATTTATACCCCTTTCAGACAACCTTGCTTCCTGCAGCTCCCCTGCACATGTCTTGGGAATGCGCAGCAGTGGCTGCTGTTCTCCTAGGGAGATAAGAAACACTCCTTTTGCGATACACACAGAAGCAAATTGTGCTGCTTATAGCCCACCTCATAGTGCTTAAAGTACTGTACTCTTTGGGCAGTTTACTGACCTCAGAAGGATGGAAGGCTGAGTCATCCTTGA